AAGGTGATATCATTGGAATTATTATTGGATGCATTGCTGCAGGTCTAATTTTGGCATTCTTTGGATCTTTCTATTTACACAAACTCAGATCTAAAAGACAAAGAATTACAATTCCATTGATGGTAAACACTTTCTTTGAAACTATTCGTGAAATCGGATATTTGGCAATTAGATTTATTAAGAATATTAAGGATGCCATTTCAAAACTTGATTGTGGAAAACCAGCTAGCGAATCAGAAACTACTCCTCATCACCACACTGCCACCAATCAACAACCAATCCAAAATTATAATTATAATTACAATGCCACTAATACCCAAGTAGCAACAACTACAGCATCAACAAATGCTAAGCAAGAGGCAAAGAACGAGGACACTGCAGTTCAATATCATCACAATGACTATGATGATATAGAACAAGTTGATCCAATCCAAGTCCACGTAGAAACAACTAATCAAATTAATCTCAAGCAAGACAATCCAAAGCAACAAGAAACCAATGTTTATGATAAACAGGAGCCTCTTGCACCTGCTTATGAAGAACCCATACGGTATGAACAACCAAAAATTGATCCAGTTGAGTATGCTCAAATTGTACTTCCTCAACCAACTCCTATCGATGATAATGTCCCACGTATCCCAAGAGTATTCGTTCCTCAAGCTGTTTCTCCAACTCCAATTTCGCACGATACTGTCTTCCCTAATCAACAAGATGATAATATTGTGATTCCTAATATTCCACTTCCTGCCAACCTTGTTTAATATGTCCAAAATAAATCCACTAACTTTTCACTGTTCAATGATTATCTGAAAATCTACATTTTGTGTCTTTTTGCAGTGGAGGAGCTTGAAGGTGGATCTTTTCTCTTGTTAGTGTTTGCCTTTTCAGCTTTGATAACTGTTTGAGTAGCTTGCATGATAGCGTTGAAGAATTGATCGTATTTGTATTTTCTCTTTGCTAAGGTTGGTATTGATAAAGGAACAGCAAAGTCATACGATTCTATGAACTGTTGCATTAATTTGTCACTTTCAAAGAAGGAATTATTGGCCAAATGAGGACGGTTAGAAAGGTAATCCATTAATTTTTCATTGTGTTCCTTTCTCCATTTTCTTTCTCGCTTTTTGGTAGTTGGAGATTCTTCATCTTGTGAAAAGGCCGACATCATTCGAGGCTTTGTCACTGAAGTTTGCTTAACAGGAGTTCTATTGGTGGGTATTGGTTGAGTGTTTTGAATTGGAGGGGTGGTCAATACTTTCCTTGGAGTTGCAGGTTTGATTTTAGGTTTTGATGGTGAAGACATTGTAGAATTATTAAGCCGTTCAGACTTGAGTGGGATTTTTGAAGTATTAGTTTCTATATTGTTTGGTTTAGAAACTTGTTTAGATTGTGCTACTTTTTCAGGTTTGACTTGTGGAATACTTTCTTTTTGAACTGTTTTTTCAGGTTTAACTTGTGGAATACTTGTTTTTGGAGGTATCATCTTTTCTTGTTTTAAATTTTCCACTTTAGATGGTTGAGATTTAGAGGGAGCTGCTGTTTTTTCTGGTTTTACAGTTGAACTTTGAGCAAGTGCTGCTTTGAGGCTTGGCATTCTATTTGTGTGAGATGGTTGAGGTGTGTCATTTGTGTAATTTGATGACACTTTTTCATTCTTTACCTTAGATGGATCCTGTTGAGATTTTGGGGGTTCCTCCTTTGCCTTATTTGACTCACTTTTAATTGGTGTTTGTTTCAATTTTACATTGGAGGTTTGACTTGGTACTTTACCATCCAACATGAGTATTACTTCATATTGGTCATCATTAAAGCTCCTCCACCTATCAGAACCTATTTGTTTAACATATCGAGAGGTGGTATTATAAAAATCTGGGTGAAAGTCAGCAATCAAAGATTTGTGGAATTCAGCAAGTTGTTGATTTGATTTTGTGTACGTTAAAATCCAACACAAAATTTTGTAGAGTCCACAAACTTCATGGTCACTAGTCGATTTTAAAAGTAATTGATACCACACCTTCTTGAAACTGGCAGAAATTGTTTTGATTGAATTATTTGATAGTACTAGTTCAAGCACATTCCTCATTGAATTTAAATACTTTTCATCTGATGTTTCATCCGAAATATTATTTTTAACCAACATGTGATGATAATAATTGAATCATGAGTATTATAATAATTAATTTTCCTTACATTCATCATCAATATGTTCAAAAACCTGGTTGAAATTTTCGCGTAAAATTGCTTCAACTTTAGAACAAGAAACAACAATATCTGTACAAGGCTTTTGTTGTGATGTAGTCCGAGGTTCGGATCTAATGGCAGGGGTTGTTATTGTTTGCATACAAAGCTGGTCACAAGAAAAATTTGAATGAGAAGAAAAAATGGAAAGTGTTGGGCAGTTTTTTTAAAGTTTGAGTTCGACCAATGGCGCGAAGTAGAATTCTCTGAAGCCTTTCGATTCAAAAAGTTTTATTCGATATCATCTTCTTCGTCATCATTGCCTGCACCGAAGAATTGATTTAAATTAACACCACCTCCACTCCATGGCATGAGTGATTCTAAAAAGTAGAGGAATGGGTTTCTTCCAGCATTACTTCTTGTTGGTTGGTTGTTGTTTTGGTTGAGATCTGGTAAGACTTCTCCCAAAACCTCCTTTTCATAAATAACACTATAATTGGTGGAGAATACTGGATGTGAATAACAGCTTTGACGAAGATCATCATCGCTTGAACCACCATTGTCCAAAATTTCCTCAATATTATACTTGAGCCAATCCAACACATCATCATTCTTCCAAAATTCAACATTCCTTCGTACGTATGCAGAAATGAGTTTAGAAAATATTGGGGAGGAACAAATCTTGTTGGTAAAGAAGGTATTTCTCATTCTGGATTCGAATTCACTAAATCTTGATGTCTTGGTTTCTGTCAATAAGCCAACAACAACCATTGGCCATATTTTAAGAGCTCTCTGGAGTATATCATTAGCTTCAGAGAGGTGATTATCTTGCCACAAACTCAAAGCTCTGTTATACATCAAGTTTGGTAGGTATTGTAATTCTTCTTGGTGTTTCAAAATAAAGTTCTCAACAAGGTCGTGATAGACAAATCTAAATTTACGAATTCTAATGGCATAATAGTCAATAAATAGGAGAACGTGGGTTGGATCAGCAATATTGAGAGAAGGATTACTAGAGTCACATGAAAGAGAAAGAAGTACTCTGGATAAATCAAAAGCAGTGTTGTGGGCACCACTTCTAGCAAGAGCATGCAATCTACTCAGAATGGACAAGTAGATTGCTTTGGACATTTCTTGACTCGAGTCCAATCTAGATGTACCCTTCACCAATCCATTTACAAATTGTTGATTGTTCAAAATATGTTGAATGGCAAAGAGGGCTCTTTCATTGAGATCTTGGGCTTGATCGTTTTCTCCTTGCATGGTTCTGAAAACTTCACTCATTTGCAACAAGGTGTGAACGTGATATGGATGGACTTGTTGTAAAATATAGATAAAGCTGTTTGGATCTCCACTTTGTAGAGCTCTTTCGTATTGCTCTTGAATTTGAGCATATAGACCTGTTGTGCCTCCTGTTACAGTTTTTTGTTCAACAACTTCATAAACTTCGACATTATTTGGTTTGGTGCTTTTGAGTTGAGTGGTCATGTAGAGAGTTCTATAATGAGGCCAATGTGGTTTGGCCGAGACGAATAAATTCAAGATGGTTTCATTCTTCTTTTTACCAATAACTACAGATCTCTTTCCGACATAGTGTGGATTGTTTCTGAGTACACGTGGTAAACTTTCTTCATAGTTAGCACTCACAGCGGCATTGGTTTGAGAAATGGCTTCACTTCCGAAAATTCTCTTGAATTCATTTTCTGGATTTAAAGATTTCACATCGGAAATTTCAAATAAGTCATAAACATTGTGGCTTGCAGAGGAAGTTGTAGCAGAACCTTCAGTTGCACTTCCACCTTCATCCAAACCCATTTGTTGAATTTGTTGTTGTAAAAATTCCTCATCAGTAAGTGTATCTTCCTTCTTTTTGGCATTCTTCTTCTTTTTCTTGTTCTTCTTATTATTTGGCTTTGCTGTGTTGACGTATGATGTAATTTCTTCTTCATCATTTTGTGATGATTTTTCTTGTTGATCAATCATGTCCAAAACATCTTCTCCGTACATTTCATCCACATTTTCCTCTTCTTCCAAGTAAGAAAAGGCGTTAAAAGAGGAATTATTTCTCCTATTGTCAACATAGGAATCTTCTTCATCCTCGATCTTCTTCAACTTTTCAGCAAGAGCCTTCTCTTCCTTCTCACGTAAAAGCTTTCTTGCTTGTTTCATTTTTTTATTTTTAAATTACGAAATTGAAGTACTTTGGTTGTATTGTGGAATTGAAGTGTTTATTATTTGCATTTCAAATAATTTGTTATTCTTTGTATTAAGGTTTGACATCACTTTAGCACCATTGAATAGGTTGGGTCTAAAAGCTTTGAAATTTTCAAAATAGAAATTAACGTTAAATAAATTACCGCCAATTTTTTACATTTAAAAAATGTCCTCAAGAACATCTTCGTCTTACTCGTTATCTTCGTCGGGAGGGAACCTTAGTGGACAGCAAAGAACTACCATCGGTAGTATTCTCTCTGCAGCAACGGCTTTAGGGAATAATAACGGCTCATCAGGTGATTCAAAGAAGAAATTTATATCAAAATATCAACATACCAGACATAATATAAAGGAAACAAACAAACAGAATAATTTGGAAGAGTTGCAGAAAAAGAAAATGTCTTTGGAGGTTTTACAGAGTGGGTTTAAGAAAATGTCAAATATGAAATCAAACATGTACAATCAAATGGTACATGAATTGGATGAGGATGATTTGTATTCAACTTACAAACCACAAGTTCCGACAAAGCAACCTCCTTCTCTTCCTACCTCCAGCAACAATTCCTCTAATTCCAGTCCTCAAAAACCAAATAATAGGGAAAGATCAAGAAAATTTTTAGAGAGCTTGGAAATTTTGAAAAACAAGCTTCCAAATAATGCCAAGCAGCAGACAGCTCAAAGTCCAGCAACAAATTTATCTAATATTTCTAACATTTCCGATGGTGAAGAGGATGAGTATGAGCATATGGAACCCTTGGATAATTCTCACAATGGATCATCCTCAGATTTCGATGAAGATGATGCTGATTTGGAAAAGGAGTTGGAACAAGAAATTGCAAGTCTTGATGAACAAATTTATGGAGCTGGTATTGATTTAAGAGGTAGTAACTCATTCTCCAAACACATTGATAATTCATACAACTCTTTCAATTTTGATGAGCCAGAAAGACAAGTAAACTTAATCCCAGAAAAAACAATCACAATTACTCCTCACAAAGAACTTGACAACTCCTTATCAAAGGATGAAATAGAACTCTCCAAATTAGACCGTTTAAAGGAATTGATTGAATATAGGAAAGAGCTGGATAGAAGAGAGGCCTTGATAGACAAGCTAGTTTTTGGTTTGAAAAAAGAAACACAAATACATCAGTATAAACTGAGAGAGATGGAGAAGTTTTGTAAAGGTAGGTTGTAAGTCAATAATAGAATCTCAAAAACAAAATAATAGAATTCTCATGGTCTGACGACAACATTTTGGAAGACATTAAGAAGAACTTGTTTAATGAAAATGATACAATTTCTCTGGGAACAGACGAGGATTAATTTCAGTAATACTCTTGGATTCAACTAAAAATTGAATACTACTCTCAGATTCATTCTCGTTAACTTGCTATACCATTTGAAGTGACACTCAAAGACAACCAGTAAATATTGTACAATTAAATTAACTGCCTTGATTTCACATAAGCTCTAAAATTATATGCTTGTTTAAGAATGTGTGGAATAATTCTTATCAAACTATTTTCTCCATCTTCTGTCGACTTATCAATAGTATAAATGTTATTCAAAAAGTATTTGATTTCACTATATTCCAATTCCATAAGAGTTTCATTGTAGTATTGTAATATTGCCAGACAAACGTAAATATGTAAATCAAAATCGTTTGTGGAAAAATAGGTATCCCAAAGTCTTCTAACACAATCCAAAGGTAATTGTTTCGATAACAAGTATTTTATCCATGGAAGGCACCATTCATTTGGTTCTACTTCTTCATTGACAAAATATTGATACAAGTCTGGTTGTGTACATTTGAAAAGAGTAATCAATTTGGCAACTTGATAGGAAAGACTTTCTTTGAAATAATTCTTCTGAAGGAAAACTTCAAAACATCTATACATATCGTGAATATTCTTTTCCAAATCCTTTCCATCATTTGGTTGTATTGGGTCGCTCATATAAACAGATTCAAAAGGCCTCAAAAGATATAATAACTCTTCAATGGTGTAGTGTTTGATTTTTGACTGATTTAGTGATTGTTGCACCACTGATAAAATAATATTTTGTCTCTTTGAGTAGTAGAATAATCCCAATGAAGAATTATTTTGTAATTGTTGTTGTTTCACAGATTGAAAATAAATATGTTCTCTTTTCATTTGTTCTGCCTTGTCACCTGGGTTAACACCAAGAAGATATTTCCACACTGAAGCTCTCAAATCATCAGGAATGCCATGTCTAGACATATCTCTTAATCTTTCAATATCAACATAGGTTTCAGCTTCAATTAATTCCAAAAATTCATTTTGATTTTCATCAATTATCGGAGGATTCATAAATGAAGGATTGAACGTTAATCCACTTCCCGAAGTATTATTATTATTTATATTGGGTGTTGTAGGACTGATCACTCTATTCATAAAATATCTCGGAGGTGAATACGATTTTGATATTTGAATTGTTGTCGATAATCCATGAGTAGTAGGTGTATTAGATGAGGATGATGAATAAATATTGATGGGTTGAGAGGGTGGAGGGCTTGGTGGAGGCATTTTTTTAATCTTGTTGAGTTCAAAAAAAATGAGTCTACACCTCCAACCTGTTTCGCTTGTCGACCTAATAAAGCGGCAGACTGTAATGATCAATACGTATAAGTCTATTATTGAAAACATGCTTCCGATGATAAAGCCCCCCAATGAGACTAAAAATAACTCGGAAGTAATTAAACCTACCTATGTGGAAGTTGCCAAAGCTCCAGCAAGTGAAGAGAAAATTCCGAAAATTAAGGTGGTTGCTAAAAATATTTCCGAATCTAATTTAAACGAAAACAAACGGAATGGAAATCTTAAACAAAAAGAAAATCTTAAAATGTCACACAAGAGACAAAAGACTATTGATTATAGCACTAGCATTTCTATCTATTGTCAAACCAACATTACTGAGACTATTGCTGAATTTTTCCTCAGTAAGGTAAACATCTATGTGATTATTATTACATCCCTGTAAATAAGAATTTATATTTCAATTAGCTATTAATAATAGAGATAACTTTATCAAAGCTATGAAAATACTTACTAATCAAGAAGTTATTAAGGAAGCACCTGCTAAATACTTTGCTTCCCCTATGAATTTTAATGCTACTGAACATGCTGTAAAATACTATACCAAGAATCAAAAAGAATTTATGGAAAAATATAGATTAATTATTAATTCTAATGATATTGATATTGATCAAATTAATGTTAGTTTAAACTATGACTCAAACAAATCTATTTCACAATACAAGTTGAGAGTTTCTCTCCTAACAAACACTAAAATTAATTATTTAATTCAAAATAAGTTTGAAACCTATCGTAAAATTGAAGAAATTATTAATGAAAGCTCCTTAGATGTATCTATTGTTATGAGTAAGAACTTCACAGAGGAACAAGTGTCTGAATCAATTAAAACAATTGAACAAAGATCTAATATTACTATTAAAAAAGAAAATATTAAAATTAGTAAACTATTAAATAATAATTATATTATTAATATTAGATTACAATCTGACGATGAAGTTTATAGATTTACTAAAGTGGTTTTTCCAAAGAGAGATCCTATTGGTATCATGCACTTTATTCAATTTGTATCCACTGCTGAATATCTTACAAAGAAATATAAAGTGAACAAACAACCTGATAGTACCTCAATTAATAATGACAGCAAATTAGATAGAATTATGGAAAGACTTGATTTATTGGAAATGAATTATACTAAATTACAAGAACAATTCAATGAAATTAATGTAGTTGTTAAAAACACAGAAAAAGAATTCAAAAATTTAATGGATAAAATTCCAATATGGTTACAAAACCAACCAAATAATATTATTGATAACCAAGAATTAGAACTGATTGGAAATCATATTGATAACATGTTAGAGAAGATGGTAGAAGATGAAGAAATTAGAGATGTTAGAATGGCTCCAAATCCTCAAGTAAGAAGAAAGCATGATGATATAGATGATGAGGATGAACCACAACTAAAATATCATGCCAATGATTAATCCAAAATGCAATTTCCGAGTGGGATGTTTTAATGTGAATGGTCTTATTAAAACAGAAACTAAAGAGATCCTAACTCATGCTATTAAGGGAATTTGTCACCAACATAATATTCAAATTATAAGCATTACCGAAACTCACATTAACAAATTAGAAGATCAACAAAGGGCTTTCGAATCAGGAAGAGGACATTTCTTTTTTAATTCATTAATGGGAACCAGAAAAGCTTGTAAAGGCACTGCATTGCTACATTTTATTAACAACCGAAGGAAAAGATTGTTATGTAATACCAATCTTATTCCAGGATTACTTCAATTAACAAAGTTTGAAACAAGAGGAAAACCAATTAATATCTTTACAGTCTATATAAGTGTTAGAAATGATGAGGAGAGTGAATCATATGATGATAAAATACTAAGTACCATGATAGAGTATATAAGTGCACATCAAGGAGAATATTTCATTATATCGGGAGATCCGAATATAAATACCATTAATCCCACTTCAATGAGAGATAGAATGTGGTGTGAATTCTTTGATACTTTCAATTTTTATGAATCTATAGCTCCTGATGAATACACCTACATTAGAAAAACAAGAGATGGTACAACTAAAACTCACCCTGATCATATATTCGTTTCAAATAATATTATTATTAGAAATAAGAAGATTTTACCATCAATAACTAAGAATGATCATCAACCATTCTATATTGATATTGAATTAGAGACTAATGATACATGGAGACCATATATTAGTCCAACAAAGATTCAAAAATTTATTGAATCTATTAACAGAGAAGTTCCTGATAGCTTTAATGAATTAGATAACAAAATTAAATCCTTTATTATTGAAAATTTAAGAAAGAATGATAGAATTCGAATTAAAACTAATGAATCAGAATTAAGACAAGAGATTAAGTCGAAAGAAGAGGAATTGAATGATCTCATTAATTCAGAGAACAATGATACAGACCAAATAGAAAGAGTTAGATCTGAAATTAAAGACCTTTATCATAGATGTGCAGAGGAAATTAAGAGAAAGATTTCTGAATCATTTAATCGATACGATTCATCATTAATATATCAATTTGATAGACATATTAAGGAGAAGTCAATTAACTGGAAACAAGTTGATTTTGAAGAAGAGGAATTGATTGACTACTTTGAGCAAAAGTTCCAATCTAAAACCGATTCAATTCAATTTAATTGTGCCCCATCTACTATTTCAAAGGGCCCATCAAAAATCAAAATAACTATGAATTCTGTTAAGAAAGCTATTCAAAGAATGAAATCTAACACACCTGGACTAGATTTTATATCATTTAATATTATTAAGAAACTATCAGATGATAATTTAAAGCTGTTAGTAGAAAAATTTAATGAATGTCTCCAAACAAGAAATATTCCCTTAGAATGGAAACAAGGGTGGGTAAAATTAGTACCTAAGCGAGAAGTTAAGAAATTGAATGATATTCGCCCAATAACCATCTTACCAATTTATTACCGATTATTATTCAATGTTATTGCTTTTAAATTAAGAAGATGGGCTAGTAGGAACATAAATATTAGACAACAAGCATTTATCTCACACAGAAGTACAATGAATCATGGAATAGTATTATCAGCTTTAGCACATAAAGCCAATAGAGAAAAAGACCCTCTATTAATTGTAAACTTGGATATAGAAGGTGCTTATGATTCTGTTGAACTGAAGGTAATTGAATTAGCTCTACATCATTGTAAATTCCCTAATGAATTAATTGAATTTATCCTCAACTCGTACAAAGACCATTTATTAAGCTTAGAGATAGGAAACTCATTATCTAGACCCATTCACAAAACCAGGGGCATCCCACAAGGTTGTCCATTAGCTCCCCTGGTTTACGATTGTATTACTCAATTAATTATTGATAAATGTATAGACAAGTGGGATATTCCCGTAAAACCTAAAAAACTCAAAGCAGATGATATTGGAATTCTATGTTTTGCTGATGACCTAAATTTAACAGCGACTAAAAATTGCAATTATAATTCAAGATTAAAAGACCTAAATAGATGGCTTGGGAAATTATCACTAAAGATCAATCCATCCAAATCAGTTGCAACACAGAAACCGAACCCTACTAAGAAAATTAAGAAAATGAAACCAAAAATTAATGATACCAAAATACCACTTGAAGAAAATGTACGAGTTCTTGGTCACTATCCATGGGATGATAAAATGGTAAAAGAAGACATTATGAATAAGATTGCTAAATTTCAACTATCACTGAAATATATGCCTATTATGAGAATGGAAATTCCAAATATTGGAAAAGTGATACATGCTAAATGTATCAGTTTATTCACACATTTATCTAGATGTAATATCATACCAGCAGCTTTAGGTGATAAAATAGATACTGCTATTAGGAAATGTATTAGAAGAAGAGCTCATTTAGATTTAAGAAGTCACACTCATTGGTTCCATTTACCTATTGAATATGGAGGATTGGGTATTCCTAACTGTAATGATTTCATTCAAAGAATTAATATTAACTCTATTTTATATTTAACAAATAGTAGAAACCCTCTAGTAAGAGAGGCAATTAAAGATGGGATCAAACATGCTGGTAAAAAGAAGAGAATTAGCAATATCTTTGATAGTATTCTACAAACTATGAAACGATATAATATCGAATTGAAGGAATGTAATGATATTGACAATGATATTAATTTGGATCAAATGGAGGGTCATTCATTTAATATTCACACAGATGGATCAAAAATTGAAAACCAAGTGGGATTTGGAATTAATATATATAATTCAGAAAATAGAAGTTTCAAATATTCCTTCAAGATTCATGAAGAATATTCCAATAACGTGGCTGAAATCATGGCTATATTAACAGCAATCAAAATGCTGCCAAATCATTCCAATGCTAATGTACATACTGATAGTCAAGTTGCTATTGAAGTTTTAAAAAAGAGTTACAGAGGAGACTTTCAAGGATTTCAAGAAGAATTCTTTGGTACCATTAAGGATAAACATTTAAATATCCATCTAGTTAAAGTGAAAGGGCATGAAGATCCAGAGAATATTATAGTTGATAAATTAGCAAAAGAAGGTGCACAAGGACAAAATATGATTGATATTACCAAACTATTATCCCAAAACCAAAAGATTTTAATTAATACTAATAAGAAAACAATCATCTTTGACTATAGAAAATACATCAAAGATATCCAGAGAAAAGAATATTTAGATATTGTTGAGGATAAATCTGACTTACCTTTTAACCAAAGTCAGTCCCTCACTAATATCAATTTGAAATATATGGATCAAAGATTTGACACTGAAACCAAATTGTCAATTTGGAGAAACATGACCGACTCACATATTAGACAATTTCGTCAAGTTTATTGTGATAACTGTGAATGTGAAGTGGATTTGGAACATTTCATATACTACTGTGAAGAAACCGAATGTTTTAGAAGATATTTCTTAACTAAATTCACGAATCTTACAGGAGCATCCTGTAAGCTTCGTCCCCATGACACTTTTTGGGATAGACACAATTCAATTCTCAATTTAAATCATAGAGGCTTTATTAAGGCTTTAAATATTATTTTAGTTAAATCCTATAATCCTAAAATCATTGATAATTGGCATGAAATTCAAAGTCTATTATCACTACTTGTTGGTAAAGCACACAGAAAATATTACTCATGTTCTCTTAATTCAAGATAATACCTCATGATCCTATTGGGATCAGCTACACTGAAATAAAATTTTTTTAATCTTGTTTTTATTGAATTTGTTTACAATGTAATTTTTCTCGACCTCTAACTAACTTGATTCCCAAATACTTTGGACTGAAATTGTGTAATCATCATAAATTCTTTAATAATTTAAAGTCTATGATCCTTGGCCAAATTTAATTCTCTGTAAAACATGGTCTTTTTATCTTCACCTCTTGCTGGACTCCAGTAAACATAGAATTTACTCAATGGATCATAGGTTTTGGCTGCATCTTTTCCATTTCTAATCTCCAAGAATGGATGAGGATTATACAAATTGAATGGAGATTGAACGAAAGGATTAGAATAAAAGTACCAAACAATAAAGTACATTAAATACATGAAACCAAAGGCAATAGAGAAGGATGTGATTAGAACACCTGCAAAGTTAAAGAACCTTTTAAGAGTGTTGATAATTAGTGTTGTTTTTTAAAAACTTACCAGAAAGGTTGTCCTTGTCTGAATTCGAATGGTTTCATACTTAATTTGAATTGTTTTGCAAAGTTTGGAGGATTTTGCAATGTTTTATAAGTTCCAGCAACATCATCAAAGAAGCCAGTATGAACAGGAAGCTTAGTTTGAAGGTTTCTAACAGAATTAGTTGAAAGAATTGCTCTCACAACAAATGGAGAAGTTTTCAATGAGGGTTTTGAAATTAATTTTCGAATATCGTTTGATCTTAGCATGTTTTTTTCATATTAAATATTCCTCAAATTATTCACAATTTAATAAAGAATTATTCTTTAAATGGAAATTGTAATTTTATGTACATTAAAACATGTCAACTTTTTTAGCATTCTTAAAAAGTGATAATGATTTTCTTCTTGATCTTCTCTGAATAGCTGGATCCTCTTCCTCATCATCAGAATCCTGATCATTTCTCTTCTTTACTTCAATAACGTCCTGATTAATCATTAATTGAGTTTGATTATTATTTACAAAATAGTTAGATTGTGGTGATGCTGAGGAGTGTCCTCTTCTCCTCGATGATGCAGTTGATGCTGATTGTGGAGTTGCTGGAGAGAGTGAATTAGGTGAATCACCTCCTCCAACAATGTTTGGCAGAGAATTAAATACTTCTCCTAAATTATTATTATTTGTATGTGTGATGCTGATATTTACAGGATGATGATGTTGGTACTCTGTTGAAGAACCAAAACTACTCGAATATGATTGTGATCCACCTGGAGAGGAAGGATTAGAGATGGATCTTGTTCCGTGAATGCTCTTTCTCTGTTTCTTGGAGAGAGCACTGGCTGATTCTAGACCATTGGTGGAAGAAACCTGACGAAGCTGACCAAAAGCTCGTTTCTGTTCTTGTTCTCTCTGGTGATACTTGTCGAAACGTGTAAAAATTTGACCTTGTGCAAAGTCTCTATCTTGCTCACAAGCACTATTCTGTCCCATTGATGAAGTTGTTGTTTGTACGATGACGCCAATCGAATGAGAAACAAGTCAATGGGTTGTGTATTCTTGTTTTTTCGAATTATGAATTGTTTCAAAGAGGATCTACTGAGCATGGGATCACAGGAACAAATTGGGTAATTGGCGTGTGATGATTTTTGACAGGGTAGGAAATTGTCGTCAAACCTGGATAATGCCTCTCGTTTGTTATGAAGAGATGAAGTGCGCAAGAACAGTTTGGCAGTGAGAATAATAATTTAGAATTGATATTCCCTACTTTCTCTTTTTAAATAATATTTCTAATTTATTAATATTATTTTCTATGATATTTAAATCCTAGAGTTGTATTGTTTTGAATTAATGTTTTTATTTTGATAGTATACAAATTATTTAGAATCAACAAGATCGAGCTTTCCGAGAACCCATTGGATACCTTCATCGAGACCTTGTCCTGTCTTAGCAGAACAAGCTTGGATGTGCCAATCTCTTCCCTTAATAGCGTGCAAATTCAAAACCTTAGCAATTTCAGCAGCACTTGCAGCAATGAGTGGAATATCTTGCTTGTTAGCGAAAACCAAACATGGAATACCATCAAGATTTTCATCTTTCAGCAAACAATCAAGTTCAAAACCTGCTTCTTCAAAACGGTTTCTATCAGTAGAGTCCACAACGTAAATGATGGCATCAGCATTCTTGTAGTAATTTGGCCAGTATGGTCTAATAGCCTTTTGACCTCCAATATCCCAGACATTGAGTTTAACGTTTCCGGTTTGAACAGATTTAATGTTAAAGCCTTGGGTTGGCATAACTGTGGAAATTTCTTCCTTTTCACCAGCAAGACACTTCAAGGAACAAGTCTTACCACTGTTATCAAGACCGAGAATAAGAATACGAGCTTCCTTATCAGACTTTCTGAGACCTCTAATAAAATCAAGCAAACCCATTTTGTTGTATATTATTGTTGTATATCACTAGTACAATCAGTGTTGTTGTAGAGTTATTTTTTCGTAAGTGTTTTTTGTCAGTAAAGGCAACAAGGCGCCAACAAATAATTCCATTAGAAGCTTCAACACAGTCTTCTTTGTATTGGACTGTTACATTTTTGGCGCCAATGTTGTAGTTTAAAAAATCCATTTGGCGTTTAATTGTACACGCACCCTCAAAATCAAACTATTAATTTAAGGTTGAACTCATTATAACATTTGGTTTGCTATCAGATAAAAATGTAAATGCTGAGGTCAAATGAAAGATGAGGCTAGTATTAATTTAGACAATTTAATAGTCTCCATACAAGTGATTGTAATCAACAAATACATTGGAGAGGTGTAAATTAAACACTCCTATTTGAGAATGATAATTGAGAAATGCAGAATTTTCAATAGTTTTATTTGGGAAAATTTTATCATCAATCACCATTCTTATGCGGTTGGCCTCTTCACAATTTAAAAACAAAAAGACCACACAGTAACCCATTGCAAGATGACTGAATGCCATCAACACTTTACCAAGTTGCAACGTCTTATGATTAAAGACTGGCTTGGTCAATTAGTGCCCGATAAGAAGAGCAAATCTGATTCGGATGATTTACATTTATTACTCAAGGATGGAGTTGTTCTTGTCAAGTAGGTTGTTTTTATTAGAAAATTCATTATTCTAATAATTTTTATAATAGATTAATTTGTAATATTGCAAACATTAATCCAAGAGACCATTTGGCTTCCATTTCATTGGAACCACAGGGAAATTCAACTCTCATTGAAAATAATATTCAATTCTTCCTAGATAAATGTAGAGAATTGTTTAATATTGACCCCGAGTGGAATGTCTCGACACTTGTAAATAACTTAGATATTCATGCTATTTGTGACACGTTTTACAAAATTTCAGAATTATTGGAAAGACACTCCTATGAAGGACCACTTCTTTCAACTCATAAGAGAATGAAGTCATCCTCTTCTTCATCTGGTAATAGGGATAATAGACTTTTCAAAACCAGCTCAATTATTGAAGAATTAAAGCAAGTGAGTGTTGGATTTGTTCTCTCACGACTCACTACAGAACTCAATAAGAATGACCCAGAATATATTTCTACACTTGCGTCGATATTTAAATTTAAAGATTTGACTTGGTGCCAAGATTTTTCAAACATGGGAGGCGTCACACTTATTGGTAAAATCATTGCAAAACTGAATTATGTTTACAGAACACAAAAACACAAATTCATACAGGGAAATTACATTTACTGTTTACTGATATTGTTGGAGAAGGAAGTCTTTGCTCCATTCACAAATGCTGACTCTGTTGCCTTTATTTCCTCACTCACAAAGCTGATAGATAAGAAGGAAAGTTTAGTAACCCGAAAGTACATTCTAGATATTCTATTCCTCATTTGTAATCATTCTGAGGAGGGTTTTTGGATTGTTTTAACTGGATTTTTTGAAACATTTAAAACGAAACATACAAAAACTTTGAAACATCCATTCGATGAAATGTTAGATTCAATGGCCTGGCAAAGAGATGATCTCTATAGAGCAAAAGTCTTTTCTCTCATCAGTTCAATGGTTTCATGTCCACAGGATGGATTCGTAAGAGGAAGAATGTTATCCACATTCAAAAATCTTGGAATTGAAAATATAATTACTTCAATAGAGAATAGTCACAATGTAACCAATCCAGTGGATAGTTTTTTGAGAGAAAAGATGAAAGAGTTTGAGGAGGTGTCAAAGAAAAATTCACAACAACCTACAACAATCAATAGTTCTGACTCGGTTCAAAGTTTAAAATGTCTCTTCCTTGACTTGGGAATTGATAATCCTTCTGGAATTTTCTTCTTACTGGAATCAATCAAAAGAAAACAGAATAGTCAACCAATTACATCTGAAAGCTCAATGACTATTAGTGAAGAAAACGAATATAGAATGCTTCAAAAGCTTGTGCGTTTACAAAAACGAAAGTTGGATAAACTTGAGGACAACCTTAAAGAAAAGGAAAAAATTTCAACAGAAAAGTTTTCACTTTCAGAAGAAGAAATCAAATCAATGAATGATCTTGTGGAGATAACAGATCTCAAATTGAAACTTTCCAACATTTTGAAAGATGTAACTTCAAAGGAAAAGGAATTGAAAACCATAGTGAATAACAATATTGTCCAATAAAACATGAAATCAATTAATATTTAATTATTATTTGCTTAATTTCAAAAAATGTTTATCAGAATTCCTTGAAAAAAGTTTGCTTGTTGAGCGCTCAAAATTTGGAAGAAAAATTTAAAAATAAATCAAAAAAAATTCATCATGTTGATCAGCAAGAAAGAAGAAACTTGGGAACAGGTTAGTTGATGATTTTAATTCTATCATCATACTCATACAATAATATCAAATATGTTAGGACGATGAAATTAAATTATATACACAAAAGATTTTACCTTCTAAACCAGAGGATTTGAGTAAAGTAATCAAACAAATCATAACGGAATCGAGTGATGAATTTTTGATGGCTTGCAAACGGGTATGTAACATAATAATACTAATTCAAGGATGATCGTAATTGGTTAGACTGTGCTTGAGCAATGGTCTGATATTTTGAACAAATTCGATGAAATTTTAGAAAAGATTATCACCAAGAGTAATATTCTATCATTCGGAGAAAAGTCATCAAAGAAACAAAAACAAACATCAAAGGAACAAAAACAATGTCAAAAAACACCACACACAGAAATGATCTTATCAATTTTGGACATGTCTTTGATGATTGTAAAAAACACAAAAATCGGATATTCTCAGTATAGTTCTTTGGATGTAAGTTGTTGTACAATTATAACATCAAATTAACAACATGATCAGAGACTTACATATTTACTCAACTCTGAAAATTTGGACATTTTGCATTTAGTTTTACAAATTTGCTTATCATGTTTCAAAAAGAATAGTATGATTTCTAAAGGAGTTGTTGAGCATCCACCTACCTTTATTCATAAATTAAATTTTATTGCTAAGGGGTACGGAAAGGATTCTACTCAATTTTGCTATGATGAAACTATTTCTGATGAAACTCTCAAGTTGGGAACCTCTGTCAAGTTTAAAGTTGTGACTGAAGATCTTGAACATGAATTTAGATCTGAGGAATTGCAAGAAGAAGAACTTGTTATTGAGGATGTAAAGAAAACAGCACCAGATGCTTTAACACTTTGGAATGATCTAATCAAAAAGGAAGGCTCTATTGTCAGCAAGCTTACTATCAACAAAAAGTTTGACTTGTGGACGCGAATTCGTATGGCCTATGCATTCTATAACTTGGAAACTAGAAGAAAGTTCCTAGTCAGTAGATTCAATTCATTCTCAGTGTTATTGTATGTTTCAAAGAAGGACTTAACTTCTCTTGAAATCATTCCAGAAGTGAGCAAAAGTATTGAAAAAGACAAACGTGGAGAACTTAAACTTCCAAAGGAAGTTGCTATAAGTTTGCTTGAGTTCTATATTTCTATATCTGTATTCAAGAGTTCTAGATTACAAACTGCTGCTCTTCAAACTTTAACACTGACCACAAATATTTACAGTGGTCTTCTTCAAGGTTGGCTTCAAAAGTTAATTAATGTTTATGTAAACGGAGAAGTCACAGACCCTTCAGATTACATTACAGATAGATTGTATTTAGAAACACTTTTGGACTTATTTGTTTCTATTTCTAGAACAGCAAATGGTTCAAAACATTTAAATGACTCTGGGATTGCTAATGAGATTACTACTTTACTTTATGCAAAAGATGAGTTGGTAGTTATGAAATGTATTTCTATTGTAGAATTATTCTTGGATCCAAAGTCTGGAGTACAAACAGCACCTACAGTACTTTCTGATTGCATTAAATTGTTTTCAGATATTATTGAGGTATCTCAATCCAAAATTACTAAGTTGGAAGAATCCAACACTGAAAAGTCAGATGGTTCATCCAATACAATTGTATTCAAAGTACTCAGCCCATATCAATCTCCAACTCTTTCAAGTCTTTTGAGAATTATTTCCAGTGCCTATTCAAGACACGATACAACTAATACAGAAATACTGGAAGAAAGGCAAATGAATAATATCAACTTTGTTGTAAAGAATTACACTTGGTTTGGTCCAGCAAATTTTGCTTGCATTATTGATTTAATATACACTTTGATTGCAAAGGATGTTGCTAACATTTCAATTATTAGAAGCTTTGGAACATTTGATTTGATTTTGGATATTGCTAAAAATGGGGTTCCTCCTTATGCCAAAGTTTTACACAATATTTTACTTTTAATTAACTCACTTTGCCTCAATCAAGATTTCAGGGAAAAGCTTGCTTCAGATGACACTTTCTACAATTATTTGAGGATTTTCTTGAATGAAAAGTATTCGAAGGCAATCAAGAAAGATGTCGGTTTTTCAATTGGTTCTGAAATTGCTGCCTTGTCCAAAACTTATCCTGCCTTGAAGGAAAATATTGTAAATTCAGTTGTAAAAATTATGAATGAACTCTTAGAAAAGCTAGAGCAAGCAAACTTGGAAGAAGGAAAGAATGGCCATCCTATTTTCATGTTGGCTTCCCAGTTTGTATTGGCCATTGGTATTATTGTACATGATAATGCTACTCTCTTCGTTGATAAGGGATTTTTCCCAGTGTTGTTGAAGATTACAGATTTGTCTCTTGTGCCATCTACTCAAAACGCCATCGAACCAATGAGATATATTGTGGTATTCAAGGATTTAATTAGAAGCCATAGTACTTTGGTGTATGAAGGGATGTCCGAGATTTTAAACTCCAAGCTGGGTGCATTGAATGCAGGAGAATTGGAATTTGAGAAATTCAGTACTATTAAGACTATTTTCGCTCTTACAACTATTATTGAAATTATGAGTAATTGCTTTGAACAATCAGAAGATTCATTTGTGGAAGTATGGAAAAATAAGAAAGGTGATGTTTTAACTGATTTAGCACGTTTGGAATCAAAAGTTAGACTCTATATTGCCAAATCCAAGCCTCAAATTTTGAAGGATGAAATTGCAGCCCTTAAGAGAAAGAAACCTATTGTCTCTGAAGAAAAGACTCTGGACACATCTACAACATCCATTACTTCTAGCTCCTCAGCTGCCTCCTCTTCTGCTGAAACTAAACCTGTTGAGGAAACTCAAGAAGAGATTGGTGCCAGATCATTGAGAAAGTTTAACAACAATACCATTAGCTCATATTTGACCCTAATTTTCAGATTTTATCAATCTCTTCAAAGAGCTATTTTCGAGCTTATTGAACATGATGGTCAAGCAGAATCTATTTTGAAAGCCAAAGAGATTGCTGGCCTTTTAGTTCAAAATTTCTCAGTCTCTGTTACAGAAGCTCAAAAGGTTCTCAATGATGAAAACCTTTCCTGGACAGTCAAGGCTGCTCATGTACATTCTTTAATGACATTAATTTATAGTGTTGTTATCAGTGAAACTTATAGAAATTTGAATACTCTTGTACTTGACAATATGCTTAGTAAGGGTGTTATTGATTCTATCATGAAGCTTTATGTTGATCTTGTAAATTTAATCTTGTCACAAGATGTCAAAAAACCAAGCAAACCAGAATCAGCCGATCCTATCTATCTTTTTGAATATGAATCAAGTGAATATGGTATTGCTTCTGCATGTTTGGAAGATTTTACAGCATTCCTCCAAAAGATTACATCAGCCAACTACGCTGCTCAATCACCAATAACTGCCAAATTGTTTGCTCTTGATGGTTTCAAAGTTTCTGAGCTCACCACTAAAGTCCAAAAGAAGGTTGCTGGAGCTGTTGCCAAGGTATGGAATCATGAGAATATTGAGAAGGGCAGTACTACATTCTTGATTTGTCTCATCAATGTTGTTGGTCATATTATCAAGGGATGTGATACAAGCAAGAAGGAAACTTCACCTGTTAAAGAGGACGAAGATAAGGTCAACCAATTGATGGAAATGGGATTTACTCAAAAAGATGCTCGTGCCGCTCTCAGAGGTGCCAATAATGATGTAATGGTAGCTGCAGAGTGGATTCTCAACAATACCATTCCAAAAGAGGTTGAAGAAGAGGAGGAGGAAGAAGATGAAGACGAATTAAGTAAAGCTATTAGAATGTCTATGGTAGAATCTGGAATGATGAACGATGAAGAGGACAAGACAGATTATTCAGTCGTTCTTGAAGAAGAGAGTGATAAATGGCTCACCGCTAGACTTTTTACCAAGGGTTTAGCCTATGCCTGTATTGATGTGCTCAGTATATTTGCTAAGAAGAAGGATACATTGAAGGATTTCGTAGTGAATGCTGCAATTGAAAGACTTACAAATGAACCAAAGAATGTTCAAG